CCCCTATCCACTTCCATGGTAGTAACCTACTAACCGCCTCATCCACTACGTCCTTGGGAGTTAATTGAGCTGTGTTCGTTGCAGGCAACTTCTACAATCGGGACTTTCACATCTTCGATAAATTCAATCCCAATCCTTTATCCAAGAAAACAAAAATATCTAATCTATAGCTAAAGTCATGGACAAAAGCAATCAAGTTTCCAATTGGAGATCTGAAGAATCTAGAAGAATGAAGTTTTCGATTAAAACCAGAAACCAAAGATAGGCTCACACGTGACTGAGGTATATGCATGGTAAACTATGTTCTAGAGGATAAAATCTAATAAATAATTAAGCCCGTTTTTCTTCCGTTGTTCTAAATTTAGTTTTTTTCAAACTCATTTTTAATTATATATTTTATGAGATTCACAACTTTATCAATTTTTCAACTACACACTTCATCAAATTTACCAAAATGTACTAAAAATTTAATTTTTAATCAAATTAAACAAGAGCTAATATGCTCATATGCATCATTATAGAGGCGAACTTTTAACATAAACTAATTATTTAACCTTAAATCATACAAAATAAAAGAAAATCAAATTTCCAAGAGATGCTGAGTATATACATCACATAATTTATTCATAAATAAAATAAAATTAGAAACAGATAAATAAAATTTGAGTTCTCCGTTCAAATCACAATATGTTATCTCGAGCCACTCAATTCAAAGTATCATAATTTGAAGAATAAAACTATTTGTACAATCTTTGTTGATAATTTTATTGATATTCATGTATTGTCAATATTTGTGTCATTAATTTTAAAAACAATTTTTAAAATGGATTGTGTAAATCTCTGCTAACTTATGATTGTCAACAAAGTTGTCAACCATAATTGTACGTGTAGCATGATTCTAATTTGAATAAGTCAATATCCTAAAAATATCATAATTAAATTGGTGATTCTGCCTCATGTACTTATTATAAGAATGTTCCATTAAAATTTTTCACTATGTCGAGAAATTCACAAATGCACATAGCTCGTCGTGTTTATGCACTTAAAAAGCGCTCTTTAGTCCTAATTTCTAATAGGACCATTCTAGATATACATAAATGTTGATACAATAGTTTACATCCATGTAAGTTGACAGATTTTAGTATATTAATCTTGAGAATACATTTTCTAATCAACTGTCAGATTTTTGACACATATAGAGGTGACAATCAATGTATACACTGTGTTTAGACGTAGTTTAATCATTTCTAATTTCTTCCCACCCCATTTCTAATTTCACCACCTCAACAGCTATCATCCTAGATGTATGTTTCACCTAATAATAATAATAATAATAATAATAATAATAATA